GACTTTATTAGGTTCATATTAATGTCTCATAAAGATGAATAAATACTATATTATGCACTTATTAAGAGTTAATACAATTCCTTACAAGCACCTTAATATAAAGTGTTACCTACATTTTTAACTTCAGTGTCTGTGTGACTTCATTTTTTGTAACTATGTAGGATGAACACAAACAAGTCATAAGAAAACGAAACCAAATACATATTTTCCTCACTGAAGCTGGAGTGACGCCTCACAGATAACTACCTCCAGCTCTGTCATTCTCTCTTTCACAACGTCTCTTTGCTTGTGTCTATGGCCCCGCGCGGCGGCGGTGTGTGTAGGTTCACTTGCTGGAGCTCTCCTCCCTGACACTCTGCAATCAGATGTGACACATTGAAGGTTCAGATGACAGATGGAAAGACAAGGTCACACAGTCACCTACTTCTAACGAGGGATACGCACGGCTCCGTTTTGACAGGGCACAGCACACGCGCACATCTTCACACACACACACACACACACACACACACACACACACACACACACACACACACACACACACACACACACACACACACACACACACACACACACACACATGCTTGCGCACAGTCACAAGGCGGAGCAGGAGTGTTTTGCAGACAGGGCCCTTTTTCTCGTGCCTGTGCAATCTCGGAAGCAATTACCTATTAAAATTTCATCCTTCCCATCTCAGAATGTTTAGGAAAAAGATTATAACTGCTGGGGAGGTAATTAAGCCTGCAAATGGTGAATTGAGTTGTGAATACAGAGTGCTGCGTGAGTGTGCATCTCACTGTGTGTGTTTTTGTCTTAATAAAAACTAATAGTCCACCTAAAGCTCCTCAGTGTGATACCCAAAAATGACAATTACAGTATTAAGAAGCACAGCATTTGTCAGAGAGAAGTGTCGGGTTATAAAATATCTCAAGGATAAGTGCTATTTTTCTGATTCAATTTCAGGATTTACGCCTTTCCTTAGATTAGACACTAAGTGTAGTTACAATGAGATTAGCTTCTGCTGCTTGTCGGTTACACTTAAGAAACTTAAGATTTGTAGTTTCTAGAGCCAAACACTGAAGGGAACGTCACCCAGAATGAAGTGGCAACGGCTCACAATGTTTCCAACTTCTTTTTCTAGCAGTCCAAACAGAAATGAAGCTTTCATGTGGCTTTAATTCAATTTAATTACTGTTATTATTAATATTATGAGTCATGCTTATATTATCACTATTGAAGATTTTATTCCATGTAGTCATATTTTTTGTTAAATATTTTTGTTGGCACCGTCACTATAAGAAGAGAGCTATGGTAGCTATCATTGCCCCCCCCCCCCCCCCCCCCCCCCCACACACACACACACACACACACACACACACACACAAAACACAAAAACTTGTCTGCCTCCTCTAGCAATAAAGAGATCAGCACCTTATTTACAAAGCATTCTGCTTTATTTCTAACCGACTCAGCTTTAGTAGGAGCTCTCAGTCATGGGTCACCCTTCAGGCTCCCAAAGTTCACACAGAGTTGGGAAGAACTGCTTTAAGTTTCGCTAACGTCAGCACAGCGGCATCCTGGGAGAAAGCACGTCTCGGACAGTAAACACACAGGCTGATGATCATTCAGGTGTGAGCTTTCTGTCTTGGAAATACCAACATTATTTTTCCCTACTTGGGTTAATTGAGAAGAATATACCGGTGAGTTGTAGTCTGTGTTAGACTCTGCAAACACCAGAGACCAAGGTGCAGCTCACGTTAGCTCAGCAGACCAAGGAGGAGCCACTCCATCCAAACAGCCAAGACTTGATTTTAAATCACCGCCAGCTGCAAGATGGAGGTATGTGCTTGACGATTTGCTTCATATCAACTGTTAAGTCTTCAGATAACCAATCAGGAAAATACCTGCATATTGAAAACGGCTTATACAAAATGTGTGAGTTGTCGCCATATTCCTTTCAGTAACTTGCCCATTACTGTTTATTACTGTAATTTAATCCAGCTAATACAACATATACAAAGCCAAATCCTTCTGAGATTCAAAATGCTGCCATCTGTCTGGCTGCTGCCACTCCGACCGTGAACTGTTCGCTCTCCTTCCTCCGTTCTCCTCTCTTCCTCCATTCCTCCCTTCTTTGTCTCTTTCTGCTCTTTGAAGCCGAGAGTGAAGCGACGCAGGATTTTCTGCCTCTTAAGGATTCAAACAAAGTCTCCCGGTTTTGGAGATGACATGAAAGTCTGCCTGGCGGCCCACCTGGGGATCAGCGGGCGGCCGGCTGGTTTCTGGTTCACAAAAGCAACCAAGGCGTCCATTTTTTAATATGCAGGAGGATTGTGGGGGCCACTACTGGATGTGTAGTGTACAGGGGCCCATAACACTGGGAACAGGAACCTCAGGCTTTTGTTTCTTACCTGTGTGGTGCATGCGATAATGATTATGAAGCATGATTTGGGAATAGAGCATTACCTGCTTTTCTATTCTTCTTTTCACCAATAAGTTCAATGAAATGCATTCTGGGAGATTATCTCAATGCTTATGGTCATTTGTGATTTCTTTACAAACAAACAAAAAGACAGTGTGTGATTGACGGTCACACAAGACACCGAAGGAATCTTCTCCTCCCATTAGACCTGCAGACTACACTCACTGATGCCAGCAATTTGGCAATCTTGCCATAAACTGTAATCGATATGTGTTTTGCACTAAAAATAGATTTTTCCCACTACAATTCCACAAACAATGTCAACAAATTCCAGCTCGGCCTATATATTGTGCATTGGCCCCTTTTTGACCGCAGCACTTATCTGAACATTGCAAAAGAACCGCTCTCTTCACTCGTCTGATGTTAGGAGAAATTATCTCGCCTTTTTTCAGTCTGTTTATCTTCACTTAAAAACAAGAATAACAAGTCCATATCGAGGGAATCCATATCTAATTCCTCCCCCCCCTCCCCCACCTTTTCTAGCCCTCCTCTTCTCCCTGTGATGAATCGTCTCCCTCGCCCGGCAGAGGGGACCTGTAATCAGGTGTTCGGTTGGCGAGGATCCCGCCAGATCACAGAGGTTAATAACATTGCACATCATCACCCACAAGCCAGAGGGATTAGGAGTTTCAGGGGGAGCGAGGATACACATTGCAAACGGTAAACGCTCTTTCACAGTGGCCGCTCCAGGTGATAGGCCACGTCGTCATCTCATCTCTCCCACAAAGAGGAAGTGTGGGGGGGGGGGGAGGGACTCGAGCGGACACCATCACCTACTGAAAGTGTCAATTATCTCTTTCCACCATGTAATGGGAGCACTTTTTTGATCCCCCCCCCCACCTATTTACCTCCCTTCTGAAAGCACACCATTTTAATGAAGGTAAGGTGGTAGGTAGCATGAAACTTTCTGTCCCCCTTTCCATGAGCTGTGCTCTCAACATGATGTTGATGGTGTTTGTGGGCGTCATGCTTCACACCGAGTAGGGTTATGTCACCTTGTCGTTCGTCAGGGGAGTTGTAGGATTACATGCTGATCTTATTCTTGCAAATAGAAGTTACTCAACCTGCACCCCCCACCCACCCCCACCACCACCACTTCCTTACATGTACACTTCCTCTCGGTTATATCCCAACATTTCCTGCCAGCTCACTGTTAGTGGTTCAAACTCAACTGTGAACTCTGTACACTCATTCCAAATATAATCTGGAGCATGCAATGAAAATTTTGAGGTTTTTTTAGGAAGCTATTGATCGTCCTCTTCTGATTCCAAGCCGAAGCAAGCTGCCAATGTGAACCAAATTCTACAAAAGCCACTCGATTTGCAATGGAAATTTACGCAATAATTCTATCCAACTGACAAAAAGATTCACTTTCCCTAAAACCTGGATTTGAAAACAGTAAAAAAAAAAAAGGAAAAAAAACTTGTTGAAATGGGTTTTATGCCTCTTTTTTTGTCTGCAATGATGGGAGTCTTTCTGATGATTTCAACTGCAGTCAGATGGAATTTAACAGGGTGCCATTTATGTAAGGCTTCATAGTAACACGAGGGATGACAGATGTTTGACTGGACTAAATATGTTTTTATTTTATCCAGAAATTCATCTTTGATGTGCTTTTTGAACTACTTTGAGGGGAATCTGAATCTGTGTGCTGTCTGTTTCCACATGTGTTCATGATGTGTGTGTGTGAACTGTAAGCGCTGGTCGTTACATATTTGAGAGTGTGTGTTTTTGTGTGCCTTCATTTATTTGATCTTCTGTGTTAAAACACAAAGAAGCCCCCTACTGTAGCAGCCCACGGTACGCTGCAGAAATAGATGGCATTCATACTCTCTGTATTCTACCACTACCACCCTTCAAACCCCCCTCCCTCCCAATCCCCCCCAACCCTACACCAACACAACACCATCACAACTACCACGGCTTCCTCGCCGACTCACACACACACACACACACACACACACACACACACACACACACACACACACACACACACACTCTCCCACTTCCCTTTTTTTCCCTCCTCTCTCTCTCATTATATCATGTGGGCATGAACCAAAATAAAACGGTGAATAATGGTTGGATTTGAGAAGCTGCAGAAGCTCCATCGGTTATGAAATGGATGGATATCTGGCCGGTGGAGGATAAAACAAAAACCGATGCTGTCATTTGAAACACAAACTGGAAAAAGCCTGCAGGGGTTTGTGTGTTCTCTCTCTCTCTCTCTCTCTCTCTCTCTCTGCGCTTTCTACTGAATCTTTGTGGATTTTCTCACTTTATGCACCATCAACAACATGCGAGTCCAGCTGAGACGAGCGACTTTCACATCATTACATCACACCAAGTGACACTCCAGAGGCCTCTGAAACCAACATCCAAGTATACCCTGTATACAAGCATCTTTTCTTTTTTTTTTTTGCTTACACAAGCCCCACCCACACCACCAAGTGCTTCTAAAAGTCAGACACACTATACACAAACGGCTGTAATGAGCTGTCCAAAAAAAAAAACAACTTACGGAGGTTTGTGGCCCTGGAAACAAAGTGCTGCGAATGCATCCCGAGGGCCTCCTCCCCCCGAAACTGCTCGCCTGGACACCCGCCCTGCAGCACGCTGGCTACGGCCCTGTCGGACAAAAAAAGTAAAAAGATGAGGAGCGCTGAGGAAGAGGAGAGAAGAGAGACAGAGAGGCGGTGAAGAATTAGGGGAACAGACAAGAGGAACTGTGCATAATGTGGTTAATTGAATTATTCAGTCAGACAGGCTGCACTGCTGTACAGTATCCCTACCATGAAGCTGTGAGGTGCTGCTAAGTGGAAGAAAATATGATTCCCTAAAGAATGGGAAATGTTTGTTTTCATTTTTTTTTTACCGTTGTTACAGTAATTATTGCACAAACACTTCATTATATTGCACAATGAGAGTGTATTAAAGGTTTTTTTGTAAACGTCACTCTCTCTTCTACACAATGCTGCACAATGCAATGCATGGCGCGCAAATGTAGTGAGAGACACCACCCACCACCTATAAAGAGAAGAACACGTTATGTTATGATACACCTCAATGGAGAGGTAGACTGGAGTGCAGAGAGCATGAATGCACTTTTTCTTTTTTTTTTTAAATTTGAAGTCTCGATGACATAATTGATCTGGTTGCCAAGAAACAACAGCCTGTGTACGAAATATAATGTGCCAAAAACATTCATGCAAGTTGCACTTTTATCATGTTTAGCTGCAGTGTATTTCAATCATAAATGTCTGATTTGAACAGAGGCAGATGAAAGAATAAACACATATTGCGCGCTCCAGATGACTGGATGCGTAGGCTACTACTGCAAGTCTCTTTGTAAACAAGCGCACTGAGAGAAGCAGGGAGGCAGAGAGAGGGAGGAAGAGAGAAAGAAGGGCTGGAGGGAGATACAAAGAGAGAGAGAGAGAGGCACCCACCTGGACATGTTCTCTCTCTGGGGCCGGTGCGCCTTTTCCAGCCCCAGTTTGGTGAAAATCCCCACAAGAGCCATTATGGCCACTACTCCACAAATGATGTAAACAATTAAGTTCGTCTTGTCTTTGGTGCTGTCGTGCAGCTTGTTCATCTTTTTGTAGGGAGTCTGCCCTGTCTTCATCCAAACCGGGGTGTCGTAATTTTTGCAGGTGCTCTGGTCCAGCCGCGAGTGTTTGTAGGAGCAGCAGAAGCGGAAGCCACAGGTGCCGCAGCAGTACAGATAATTCCCGGTTTTGCAGATGAACGGCGGGTCCCACTGGCCCATCACGTCGTAGTATCCCCGGCATCTGTCTTCCGTGTGCGGCGTCTCCTCGGACACGGTCTCCTCTTCCCTGGAGCCGTTGGAGGTGGCGATCATTACGAATCCTCCGAGCAGCCCCGGCTCCCCGTCAGCCTTGCAGACAAGAGCCATAAGTTTGAGCACCAAGAAGCCGAGGAGAAAGTATTTACCTCTCATGGTGCTTTCTCCTCCGTTTAACTTCACGCAGACAGGAAACGACTTGGAGAAAGGGGGAAAGGCGCGCGGTCATGGTATGCTGAAAAGTCCACAAACACGCATCCGAATTGCGCCGCACCTTCATCCACGCAGACGAACATCTTTGTTTAATCTATCATCATCCAAAAAATTCCCGCGCAGAAAAAGTATCCTTGGTTTACAATCTACTTCTCACTGACTGTTCCCTAACGCGCTCTCTTCTGCGCACACGTCTCTTCAGAAAGGCATTTGAAGGCTCAGATTTCGCGTTGTCAGGAGTGCATCACTTCTCCATCGGTGCGCTCTTACGCACAGGAGTAGGCAGAGACACATGCCGCACAGAGGATGAGAGCGCAGTGAGCGAATAGAAGAGCCGAGGGTGGGAGAGCCTGGTTCGCAAAAGGAGAGGAGGAGGAGAACATGGGGAGGGAGAGAGACTGCGAGGGCTGAGGAGAGAAAGAGAGAGGAGGAGGAGGAGGAGGGGGGGCTTTATTGTGAAATATTACGATAAATGCCCCCAGATTACGCACATCACTATTCTGTTATGCCGTCGAGGAAAGGCGTGGGAGCCTTTTTCCCCCCAGTTTTTCACTTCATACATTCCCAGTTGTGGCTTTCCATTGTTTTCGAAATACTTAAAGCACATGTAGCTTTTTGTGCTGCAGCTGGGCTGGCAGAGCTTCTTAGGCAGGGATTGGAGATTTAAAAAAGTGGCCAGATCACCAAATAAATGGCCCTGTGACGCAATAACCACTGTATGCCAGGGGACTTCAAACAATGTGTAGAAAAGCACAATGAGACCCTGCGTTTGGTTCAAATAACAATACATCCTTGAAGTTACGATACAATACTTGCCAGATTTTTTTTCAATTGTAAAAGTGAGTGATATTTTCTCAAATGGCATCTAAAAGAAAGAAGTGTTAACATTTCCAAAACAGTGCCTGAGGTAAAGGGCAGGTGGTGTAAACATGTTTAATTAGTATAGAGTATAGTTTACTTTTTTGCCCAACAGGTGAAGAACTTGAGCTCTACAAAACCTACTATAGGCGTGAATTAATAGGACCTATGGGCATACACATATCAGAATCAGATTTATATGTAATAAACCTTTTCTTGATTTGGTTATAAAACATCCTTCTGACTTGTTTGAAGGTTTCTGGTGCATTCAAATCAAGCAATATCCTCAATTAACCCTTCATATGTAAGAAATAGAACATACTAAAACAGATAAATTGTCTTCCCAGCCATGAGGGTGATCTGGATTAAGAATAACCTTTCTGCATACTAATGAAAGACTCATGTCTAAATGTGTCTCTTTGTGAGGGCGAGGACACGAAAAGCGAAATGATTTAGTGAACTTTACAAAGGTTTATTCAGAGGACAGTAAAACAGCCGGTTTTAGTAGCAGAGCAATTTTGCATATTCAGCAAATTGGCACACAAGGTTGCTTTTCTTGCTATAGCCTACATGTAGAACTAATGTATAGCCTATGAATGTATATGCAGGCTATGTAGAATAGAATAGATGTTTATTTCCATTTGCACAGGTACAGGACAGTACAGGTACATTGGAATTCTTGTGCGTTTCTCCCTGAGTCAGCTTCTACAAAAGAAAGTTAAAATTAAATATAAAATAGAAAAAAAGAGTACAAAAGTACAAAAAAAAAGTTAAAGTAAAAATCAATAAGTTGTAGTAACATCTAAGTGATTTAAAATAAACTGTACAGAAGCTATACACTGTATTAAAGCAAATATATAATACAAAACAAATAACAAAGGGGAACACTGTACAATGAAATGAAATTATAAATATGTTTTCTTGTCTCTAATGTATGTGATCTAGGCTATTTTGTAGGCTCGTATGTAGACTATGTAGCCTATGCTACTGTAGTCTATGTATGTGTATGTTGGCTATGTAGGCTGCCTACTATTGTAGATTTGCAAACCTTCGCAAAAATCGTGTTGCCGTTTCATTGTTTTGTCAGAGCTGACAGAACAATGTGCGTTTATGGATCCTATGTATGGATGTTAATGTGGGACAGCCTCCCTTGGGGCCGCAGCTGAGAAAAGTCCCACACATCCGCAGACAGGCGGTGCAGTCGACTGCCGATAGCGGAGTGACCAGCAGCGTCAGAGACAGCTGGGGACACCCACCCAACAGCTCCACAACAAACCTGCTTGGAGGCTCCCCGACAGGCTCACAAGTCACGACATAGTTTTCTCTGGGAAAACTCTGTAACCATTGGAGCTCATGGCTGGGAGTGAGGAGACCTTTCTCAGGGCTAAACATCGGACATTCAGCGGACTGAGTGAAGGTAGCAGACTGTGTGTGGTTTATTTGTTAGCCTGCTTACAGGCTAACATGTTAGCTAAGTGTGCCTCTCACTGAGTGGTTACACAAGCCTGCTACAGGTTCAGGGTCTGACAGCTCAGTCCATTGACAGCTTTGGTCGGAGAACTAGGTCGCTGTTGTAAACACTGTTAGCTAGCTAGCCCGTGTTTAAGAAGTAAACAACCCAAAACAAAACAATGCTCCAACAGGCTGTTCATGTTGTGAAGTTTGTGTAGCTGGAAAGTGATTATTGATGAAAGAAAGATAATAAGATTAAACTTTTGAAAATAGAAAATCGTGTTTGTTCCACTATCGTAAACCTGTGGTTGAGCAATGAGGAGGAGCATTTCTGCTTTTTTGAGGACGATTTGTATTTGGCTTTCACTTTGTTCAGCCTCATTTAATGAAATCAGTTTACATGTGTTGTTCAATAATACTTTTATTTCATCAATGCGAGTTATTGAAGGACTCAAACAGTATTCAACCCTGTGTAAATGTGCTGCAGGATGCCTCCATTTCTACTTTTCATACCTGTTCAGTCGAAATCAAAAAAAGGGAAGCTACTATTGAGGGACTGGAAACCTTCAGTTTTTTTTTTTAATTATTTGCTGCAAAAGCTTGCCCCCCCCCCCCCTGTGCTTTCATCTCAGATGATGATTAATTTGTTTGGAGCTCAGCTCACAATGAGCCACCTGAGAAATGTGTGTGAGGACTGTTTGAAGTTGGTTTGGACCACAGGAGCCACACAAGGCTGCTGCTTCTTATCTCCTGTCAGGGGAGCGCTGCAAGTCCTTGTTGGAGGTTTTTCCCCTCTCTTTTTCATTCGTCAGAAAAAAATAGTTCACACATTTGGTTCCAGAGAGAGTCATTCTACATGAAGTATGTTCAGTGTAACAAATTGAAATGCAAAATTTATGCGAGTGCGCCTTACAGCTTTATGAAATCTTTACTGATTTACAGAGGAAATGGTTATTAACTCATAGAATAGGAACAAAATGCATGGGGGGTATGCAATATGCATGCACAGTTACATGTCTGTGTGTGTACTGTGCACATCAAACACTTCTTTGCAAAGAATGATATGACTACACAACTCAGTAACAGGTCTTACCTGCATGCATACAGAGGTGTGTGTGCTGGGGAGTTTTATATGCAAACAGAGCTGAGAAACTATTGTAGTGAGCTGAAAGTTTAATATGCAAATGTAGGCTCTGATCTGTGTCAAACATTTTTCTATTTTTGGAGATTTCTCTGATAACTTTTACGCCGTGCTGATATGGAGTCTCAAACCAAAACAGAAGCTTTTTTGTAAACAGCTGGAGATTATTTAGAGGGTTTAGTGATGGGATTTGGATGCTTTTGTAGGTGTGTGTCCTGGCTCATTACAAGGGAACTATCTAAACACAAGCTAAACTAATACAAGCAGCCATGTTTAGATGCCACTATAATTTGTCTGCATTGTAAAAACTGACATTTTACCAAATATGTTTTAAACAGTTTTAATCTTTTTCTTTTTTTTTTAAGAAAAAAAAACACTTCCATGAAATATACAAACTGTGCATTTGTCACGTTTGACTCCGAGAAGTATTGTGAGGTTTTCAGTTTTGAGAGTCAGGACTATAGTTGTTGTTGAATTGAAGACATTTTCAAAATCTTTCAGTGTGGGCCTGTTATCTAAATTTAAGTCAGAAAAATCTCTTTAGACTTCTAAGCTACAGTCACTTGACGACTCCAGGAAACATCTTATTCAAAGATACTACAGGCAAAAATATCTTTCAATAGGGCAAACACACTTCACTTGTTAAGTCTCTTGAAATGAGATGTAGTCACTGATTTAGATTGTAGATCTGATTTTAAATTTGAATAAATTAAAAAAAATGTTTATATATATATTTTTTTACATTTTTTTGATATACTTTATTAATCCCTGAGGGAAATGTACACTCTGTTATTGAGAGACATGCTTCTCACACACTGGCCCGAATCACACACATTGTGGACATGCATTAGTGGAGAGATGTCAGAGTGGGGCTGCTACAAACTGCTACCAGAGCTGTTCGGGGTTCAGTGCCTTGCTCAAGGGCACCTCAGCAGCTACCAGACCAACGTCAATATTATGGGCTGCATCGGGACTTGAACCGGCCACCCTCCGGTTCCCAACCCAAGTCTGAGTTACTGCCGCCCCCTTTCAAGGCCCAGACTTGTCAGGTGAATGTGGTTCATAATAATTCTAATGAGACATTTTTGTTATTAGAATTTAAATGGACCTGAGCTTGTAGAGCCCTTTTCTAGTCTATGACTACTCAAAGCTCTTTTTCACCGCAGGTCACACCCACACACTGATGTCATAGAGTCCATCAGTAACTAATCCCATTCATACACATTCACATGCTGCCGCCAAAGCAGCAGGAGCAACCTAGGGTTAAGTGTCTTGCCTAAGGGGCTGGGGATAGAACCGCAGACCATCCGGTTGAAAGGTGACTGACTCTACCACTGAGCCACAGCCGTCCCTTTAGACAAATACACTCACTAAGATTTGAGTTTTTGCAGTGTAGAACAGATGCAATGATCAGAATGGCATTTCTGATACTTGTAGCTTTGTCCGACTCTGCTGCGTTGTCAGCCTTCTCTCAAGATAAACTTTACTCCAGGGGTCAAAGTAGCTGTTTCAATTGAAAAATCATCAACAGCCACTACTGTAGTCACACATTAAGATCAAACCGAATTAGTTTACTGACTGAATGCACTCTAAAGTAATTCGATGTCTAAAGTAAAAGATGAAGACGATAATAATTAAAAGTGTCTTTCCTCGCATGGTTTCATAAATGTCATTTACACCGAGGGGGAGTGGAGGGGCTGATTGTTGAGCTTTGACTCATCTGGTTCCCAAGGGGGGGGGGATCTCTTTTTTTTTTTTTTCTTTCTTCTTCCATCTGCAGAGTTTCTCTGGAGGAAATAATTATGGTGAATCCATTGGGGATTGTTTGCTGTGAGAGAGGGAAATTGTACCGGACGTAGATGCAGAATTTCCACCGCAACGGCGACGCTCAAATACTTAAATATGTGTTCTATCCTCAACACATGTGGAGTATGAAACTGTTTTAACACCTGCCCTGAGTGTATGTCCATTTGCAGGCAACATTTTTTATTTACTTAGCATGAACATTTTCTCCAGGGCCCGTCATGTCAAACCTCGTCATTACCATCAGCCATGCTGAGTGCCTGCTTCCGTCCTTTGCCTTGTTAATGAATATTGGAGAGTGATTAGATTGCAGGGCCCTTGTGTTGTATAATACCAGGATTATGCAAAACACTTGTTCTTTGCCATTCATGCTCCAACATGTGGTTGTTTGTTTGTTACTTATTTAACATGAGTTACTCATGGGGTGAGCATGTACTACTTTTACAAAAAGGATTCACTTCATATTTCCCTGCACATTCAATTCCCAGTGCTCCGTCCTGATCCTTTTCTTCCTTTATCTTATGTTCATTCCCAGGCTTCTGCGAGAAGCTTTCACAGCAGGCCTCATACCACCTGAATGACTAAGGCTGTAATGACACGTAATCCCTAAAGCTTTTATGTTTCTGTGTTCTACTCTGTGCAGTGTTCTGTGCGGGCATCCTGTGTCACCTTAACATATTGTGATGGAAATATTTAGATGCTGCCTAAATGCGACAGTAATACCCAGAAGATAGAACAAAAGGTCAGCTGCTTAGAAAGGCTTTGTACATCAAATAAATGTGTGCAACAAGTTTGAAATCTAGCAAAGTGAACTGATTGTAAGAAACTGTGAAGTCGCACCAGTATGTAAGATGCAGTCTGTTTTTTGGGGGGGGTCTCCCAAGCTGTCTTCAGTTGTCTTCTGTGAAATCAACAACCTGCATTTTCTGTGCTGCTGTGCAGCTCTTTCTAGTATCAATCAATCATTATTTGTATAGCGCCAATTCATAAGTGTTATCTCGAGTTTACAAAAGAGTATATGGGATAATATGCAGGAAGGATTCCTCCTTTGTATTCCTCGCGTTCCTGTTGTCCACAATTCCTTGCAGGCTGTGCATGAATAAGGACGGCGGTGGTTGTGGGGCGACACAGTCCCATGGTGGTCGCTGGGCGTCAGTCGGTGGTTAGGATAGGATAATACTTTATTGATCCCCAGAGGAGAAATTCGGGCGTTACAGCAGCACAGAGAAGAACGCTCAAATCCACATTAAACAGAATAGATAAGATAAATAAAAAATAAAAACAGGTGATATATACAGTACAAAAATGAATGTTGAAGTTAACTGGGGGGAATTGAGAATTGAAACAGTATTTGAAGAGAATGACAAGATAGTTGTGGGGCGACACAGTCCCAAAGGTTGATGGCTGGGCGTCAAGCCGTGGATGGGACGACACAGTCCTATAGTACCACCCTGAGTCCAGTTACCCACTACTTCTGGTTACTTCTTTTCTTTTTAGAAGGACTTCAATCAAACCAGCTCTTCTCAAGGTTTATTAACAGTAGTTTTGGGCAATTAATCAAGTTTCAATTTCAATCATGATTTAGGCTTCTCGGATCATGGAAATAATATAATTAAGATTAATTAAGTGTTTGTTGTTATATTTTAACCACAAATTGATATCAGTATCAGCCCTGATTTTAACAATCAGTGCATCTCTACTTATAATAAAAATATATAAATATATGTTGACCTCATATAGCGTTCCTATTCTAAATTTAAGACACGTCCCATTACAACTATAAGATTTACGGATTTCTCTGGCTTTGATAACTGTTGGAAATATCTGAGGTAATGTAAGTCCTCAAAAAAAAAAAGTTTTAGTCCATTTTTTATTAATTTACATATTTTAATGTAAACATCAAATTCTTACATATTGTACGTTTTATGAATTGAAGTCATGACTTTTTTAACAAGTGTTCCTTTCATTCCTTTAATTTCTTGCTTAACATCAACAATGTAAAGTTGCTTGCTTTAATAAACAGATTAAATTGTGCTCCTTGTTAAAGTCAAAGTGGCTCCAAACACTAAGTCCACTCTTGTTCTTCTTTTGTTTCAGATGCGGAGCGCGAGTGGACCGGACCATTTTACTTCATCCAGGCCGCCGACCCGCAGCTCGGCCTGATGAAGGCCTGGAGGGTGGGCGACTCAGATGGCGGAGGGGGACGAATGGCAAGAGGAGGTGGAGCTCACCAAGCTGGCCGTGGAGGCTGTGAACCAGCTCAGACCCAGGCCGAGGTTCATGGTGCTGTGTGGAGACCTGGTCCATGCTATGCCAGGTAGGGATGGAGAACGTGAACACCACTCGTATCACTTTAAGAATTTGAGGAAGTTTTGTAAATTGCAAGAACAAAAAAAAAAAAAAAAGGGCAGACAAATACCTGCTGTGTCCTCGGAAGAATCTACAACACCAAATGCTTACGACTGAAAATATATCAGTGAGGAGCATTACTGACAATTAAAACTAGATATTGGCATCAACAAGGGTAGCTGCCAATTATCTGCTTCCTGTTTGTGAACATAATGTGATCTCACAGATGCCAGATTCATGAGCTTTAACTCTGCTCAGACTCTTCTCGTCAGACCGAAACCACACAGCAGTGGGCCCACGAGCGTCATCTGAAAGCATCTGGTGCATCATGCAGGCTCATGCAAATGCTGCTCTTACTTGAAAGTGTTTGGAAGTACATCCAAATTAAAGATAACTGCAAACTATTTGCAAACTACATGCTGGGGTTTTAGCGCTTTTCAACTGTTACACCGATCAACTTGTTTCTTTGTGTGCGCCTATTTTGTATTCAGGAACCTGGCCTTAACCATTTTGGTGCCCTAGGCAAGATTTCAGCGGTTGCCCCTTATATTGCAGCCAGTTTGACCACCAAAGACAATATTCATCCACTTACAGAAAACTAGCTTACAGCTTTATATTTAACATAATTTCTTAATTTAAAAAAAAAATACTTAAAAACAAACATGAATAAAATGGTAATAACTCTAAGATTTCTTATAAATAAACACAAAATAAAATAAATAGAAATAACTAGTGTAGCAGAACAAACAATATCAAACAGTGCAGGGAGCAGAAGTGGACACAGACGGCCCAGCGACAGCAGGGGATGGATTTAAAAGTTTTGATTACATCTGGAGAGAGAAGATGAGCCTTTGTGGAAAAAAATGGGAATTTTATAATATAGTGTGAAGACAAAATATTATTTACTGTTCAGAGCAGTACAGAAACCTCTAGCACAAAATGTGCTTAGACAAAAGGCAAGAGCTTAAAACTATTAATGACAACAGGAGGAGGAAAATAAACATTTTAATCAACTAGGGTGAAAGCTAGCTAAATACAGAGATGTCAAGTCAATATAAAGGTAGGTTTTGTGTCCCACACAACTCAGCATACTTCACAAAAGAAGAAGTGTATTTTCTTAAACTAGTTATTTTCTTAACATGAATAATCTTTACCTAATGAATGTTCACTGGAAATAACTGATGTTAACTCGAGCTAGGAAACACTGACGTTACTATCATCCATCCATAACAAGCTAGCTTAACTACAACAGATAAGTAATTGATCCGTGCAGCACTTTACCTCTGTGTCTTTTTCATATTTTTCCTCCTCTTCCCAAGGGCTTTGTTGTTGTTTTTTACATTACGGTCATTTATAAACGTGATATTAATTCGTACGGTCAGTGTCACTCACTTCTAATAAGTCACCTGTCCTCCCCCTCCACAACGAGCAGGTAACGGCAGTTAATGAGCAGCTGTGTTGTGATGCGCCGGGTCAAGCAGGAGACAAGAAAATAGAGCCTTTTTAAATATGTGATAGTTGTGTTTTCATGGCTTCTTTTGTATCATTACTAAATAAAAGCATGAAAATTATATTAGATAAATAATATTTAGTGATATTTAAACACATTTTACTTCTATTTCTTCTTCTTATCTTCAACTTTTCTGCCGCACTCATTTGGGGCGCCAGCGGTGCCTCCTATGAATGCTGGCGCTCTTAGCATTTGCCTATACTGCCTATGCCACGGGCCGGCCCTGTGTGGGAAACACAGTGACATGACTTGCAAAGAATCATTTCTGCTGGCAATGTTTCCCTTTTTTAAATATTTGCTGTGGATTTTTTTTTTCCCAAGTAGTCCCAAATGAGCCACATGTGGGTTCGAGAGCCTTGGGTTGAGTATCACTGCTGTTACATTGCGCCCACCTGTCAATCATGTCAGCCAAGCGACTTACTATGGATATAACGTATCGTTAATAAAATCAAAACGGATGCTTGATTATGTCAGAAGTCATAAGTCATTATTTTAATTGGAATGTCGGTGCACGCAAACATAAGCTAGTTTAGCTAATGCTAACCCTAAGTCCCCACACATGCAGCCTCAGCATGACCTTATTTAGACAGGACAGCTGAAGATAGGAAACATGGGGACAGAGTGCAACAAGGGCTGTAGCCTCTGTCCGTGGTGATCCAGCTCTACCAACCGAGCCAAACCAGCGCCCCCACTTGACCTGTTGATTTGTAGTCCTAAATTGTTTCACGTGTGCCAGAAAGACTTTGGGCTGTAAGGAGTGAGTTTTCAAACCCTTGCCCCACTAAAACTTTACATCTGAGTCCAACGCTGCAGAGTCTCAGCTCTGATGTCAACAGAAGCTGAGCAAGATTTCTGACAATCATCAGTCTGCAGATACCAGAATATGTCTTGTAACATACCGTAGGTGTATTGATCCATGTATTCTCCGATGCTCTTGGAGATAGTCCTAATCTAATTAATGCATTCTGTTAACAAGGCCAGCTTTTGCAAAGTCGACTACAGAATATTCCTGTTTGAGTTATGTTCAAGCATTAGCCTTCTCTGTTTCCCATTAGAGTCTGTAAACAACGCTCTCCCCTATGACAGCAGCTGATATTTATCTATGAAATAGTACTGGCCTTCTGGCTGTTCCCAACCAAGCTTTGCTTCTGTGCAGATGAATATTTCAGCTGTTGAATAAACAAGACTCACTCTAAATTCTTCCTCAGTTCTTACAATCTATATAAGCTTTTGGCAGTGCTGGTTTTTGTTGCCAGAGTGCTGCAGCTGAGAGGAGTTGAAGTTAGTTCTCCTCAATGTTAGAAAACATTGGACCCCCATTATGAGAGCATGCAGTATTTACCTTTTATATATATCTAGTTGTTTTCAAGCTATTTGTAGGATTGTAAGATTTAGCTTTTGTTGGTGGTTCAACAGGTGAATACCGGTTGCAGATCATTTAGTTTGTGAATAATGCTGAACAGTGCCGGGCATTGGTTCCTCTCCATCACTCTTACTCTGGGAGTTAGACATGTTAGATTTCTTGGAACCAGGCCAGCGAGCCAAGTCAGCCGACTTAATTTTTTCTCGGTGGCAGCTGGTTTCCCCAATTCACCAGATGCTCCCTCTGTCGAGCCAGACAAATAGATTTTTCAGAATAGGTCTGGCTTTGGAGAAAAAAAGTTCAGTTACCTCCAGAAATGGCTTGGTCGAGGATGCAAACAATCGCTTTTGAGCTCATGTTTCACTTTAGTTGGAACTGCCACATTACGATTGAGTGTTCAATTGGGCTGCCTTGTGTCTGTCTGCATCTTTGTAATGCTAGTAGTGACAGATTTATGATGATTAATATCGACCTGAAAACATGAAGCAACCGATTCCACTTCTCATTTTAAAGATCTGTTAAATCTGTAGCCTCAGTAGAGAAGTGGCACACATAGGGCCTTGTTCACAGTAACTGTAATGAAATGAGTTACAACAGGGGAGGAGGGTGTGTATTTCTCAAAGTCCAGCTGCCTGTTTGATAACAAGGAGAGATGAACAAGCTGGCAGAAACCCACTGCAGAGTTAATGTTCAGCTAGAAGAGCCACAAGCACGCAACAAATGCTAACTACCTCTGCATGGAAATTAGCATGAGCTGCCAGGAGAAATGGGAACCAAAAAAAAAAGAAGGTCTGCAAGCGATACTGTCTCCCTCTGTGCCTCTGCATTTCGTCTCTATGTCAGTCTGTCTGCTCTCATGTCAGGCTGCGTCGAGATGAAAGCACCCTGGCCTTGATAACCCATTTAAAGATTACGTAAGGTACCGAGCAGAAGGAGGATATTTTGTTGTATGTGGTGCAGTATGTCAGCTGTGAAACGTCCTTGGCCCCTGTTTTTTTTACAATTTCACTCAAGGCAAACTATTTATATGCAACACAGATTGGGCTTGGCGTAGCCACAGAACAACTCTTGCCCTCCTCTTCCCTTTTTTTTCTTTTCTGGGTCATTATGACCACCAATTTTAGCTGTGCATGAACCCTCCTGGAGCTGTCCGTCCCCGTCGTCTTTGATTCATGCTGTAGGCGTCCAAGTTTCCCTCTAATCTCCATGACTGCACCATTTAGACCGAAAACATGGCCACTGTGCATTTTCCCTGATCTCTCCCTCGCCTTCCTCCGATCAGTCGCATTTATAGGTCACAGCGAGATCTATTTCAGATGCACAGTAGGATAGTAGATTGTGTTAGCATGGGGTTTAAAACCACGAGGGCCTCGGGGGACCTTCAAACGCCGTAGCGTCAGCCCTTGTTACTGTCAGCCCCAACAGAGCAGGTTGTGTGTGCCATCCTCATTACTCACCACGTCCATCACGCACATTGGCAACGGGGATGGAGCATCGGTCGGATGCAGGGAAGAGATCTTTTAGCCGGAGCCGCTCCCTCAATCTCTCGGCTGACATTTCCCCTTAAACTGTTTATTTACAATACAGAATGAATGGGTGGCGGCCAGGGGAAGCTGGCTGTCAACCGGCATTGTCAACACTGCTGGCTGCCAGCGACAGGAAATTGGCAACTGTATTTTCTGTTCCCACGGATTTCACTCTCCATCTCTCCTCGGTCGCTCGAACGTCTCTCTATTCCTGTCTGTCTCTTTCTCTCTCATCTGTCTGCTCCCTTTAGTAAACAGCTGTGGTCTCATGCCTCATACCTTATTTTGACAACCTTCATTTGCAAGTGTGACAGTACACAAACACACTGATTTATTCCTGCCTCTGATGAATCTATTTGAAGCATCCATTTGAATTAAATCTGAAGAGGAAAGAAAAGTTCTGTTTGATCTTGTAATTGTTCTGTTACAACAATAGGGGAAAAAAAACAACGGAGGCTGTCAAGTTCGTCAGTATCGGTTTGTGCTCTGGACCTTGATATGAAGCAGGAAAACTCAAGGCTTTCTACCGTAGTTACATTAAATACATTTCATTTCTTATCAGAGGAGAT